ACTCTTTTACCAACGAATAGTGGGATTGACCGTCACATTATAACGCCCCCACAGCTTAGCATGTTTGGTGTGACGGGGATTCGAACCAACGACCCGCTGATTGCGAGTCGAGCGCCTTATCCACCTGGCCATGCCGGACCTGTGGTGAAAGTATTGTTGATAAACATTTCAACATAAATCTAAAATATCTTGAATAAATCTACTGTGCATCTAAAACTATTATATGAAATACGGTGTTAGTGTTACTTCTTTAGTGTACTGGTTGAAATTTCTAGAAAACCCATTCACAATTTTTAACAATTTTTTTTTATCTTTCAGAATTTGGGGCATTCACGATTTACAAAATAGGAAAAGGGAACTTGAAGATTAACAGATCCAATATACTTACAATTCCTGGAATGTGTTGAATGTAGTCAAAATGTTTCCGAACCCATTAAATCGATCTGCAATTTAAATAGTAGATAGATAGGAGTTCGTCAGGAACTTTGTCTCAGGTGAAGTTGATGAACTTTGGATCAACCATGCCGATTTCGTTCGATACAGCGACATCTCAGCAAGATGGGCCTCTGAAAACCGAGACAATGTGTTACAGAGGATTTCAAGAAGAAGGCTATTACTCGGAACCGGAGAAGCACGAAAACTTATCTTCAGTTACCCTGCTAGAAGGCGACTCTATAACTTCCTCGCCTGATGTAATTAAAGAATCTGCAATTATAACAGATGTGACCAACCGCCATGATGAACACAATAACCATAATGTAGATGAGTTGTCTTCTGACGAAGACGTGGAAGAAAAGTCCATCAGCAATGACTCAAATGAATTAAAAGCTGACAATGACGAGTTTACAGACCAACTGACTCACTTACACAAAATACTAGGCAAAAATGGAGAGCTTAGCTCGAAGCCTAACATTTCAGAAATCAATCCTGCGTCAACCGCCTGCGCAAAATCTTTCGGCATTTACGAGGATCAAACAGGGACAGATGGGCAGCTCAAGCAACATACGAGAGATTTCAACTCAAAACTCCCACCTGATAGTCCTGCTGACCAGCGAGTACCCAGGAGGAGAAAAACCCCTAGCGATGTCGTTCCAGACACGTCCTCAATATCATCGAATGGAAAGGTTCGCTGCTACCGATGTAAACAGTGCGAATACGTTTCGGTTATGAAAACTGACTTCTGGGAACACCTCAAGACACACATCAAAACGGAAAAACTCCTCACCTGTCCTAAGTGCCCTTTTGTGACCGAGTACAAGCATCATTTAGAGTACCATCTACGGAACCACTTCGGTTCTAAACCCTTTAAGTGCCCAAAGTGCAATTATAGTTGCGTGAATAAGTCCATGCTAAACAGCCACATGAAGTCCCACTCCAACATTTACCAGTATAGATGCGCTGACTGTTCCTATGTCTCTAAATACTGTCACAGCTTAAAACTACATTTGCGAAAATACGCGCATAAACCTTCCGTTGTTCTAAACGTTGACGGAACGCTTAATTCCTACTCAGTAATTGATGTCTACGGAAAAAAGCGTGGTCCAAGATCCAAGAAGCAAAAAACAGAAGTTCAACAAAATTCACCATCAAGCCAAAGTCCAAAAACTCCCGTTGTTCATATTCCTCCAATAGAGCAATTACCAGCCACCTATCCTTCCAAATCTCCAGTCGTTTCTCCTAGCCATGGACTAAAGAATTTAGAGAATTTAAAGAATTCTCATGCCATGAATGGCTTTCAAAGTAATATGTCTTTACGTCCACCCCTACTGTTGAAATCAGTAAAGTCTTCCAATAAATTATTCTCAGGTCCAGCTCCAGAGAAGACTCCGAACACTGAAGATTCACTTCTATCAAAAACTAACCTTCAACTACTGAACTGTAACCTTTGTGATTTCACTACAGAAATCCAAGACTTGTTTAGTAAACATCTGATTAAGCAACATGTGACTACAAATAATCAAGATATGTACAAGATTTGTGGCAATACTTCAAAAAGCCTACCACAAATTCAGGATCAGCCACAAATTAACGAAAACCAAAAGTTAGAAGAAAACGTAGTTCTTAGAGATGATCACAGTTTGAGACTTAAAAGTCACACACAAATGACAGAAAATCTAGCCAAAAATATTCCATCATCTGATTTCTCCTTTATGTTCGCAAAGTCAAAAAAATTTACTGTGCCTTCACTTCTCCCCCAGAAGCTGGACTGCGCTCACACTCCTCCTATGTTGGCCACTCCTCTTACTAGTCATTCAGTGTCCACTCATCAGATTCTGCTGACCTCTATCTCCTTACCTTCAAGGATAGCATCTCCCGAGATCAAGCCAGACACACACTTTCCTCTAGATCTTAGCAGTTATCGTGTTAGTTCAAAACCTAAAAAATCACTCCATCTAAATTACACGCTTTATATTCGGTTTCTGAATCAGTTCGTTCAAACTGCCCCGTTTCAACACACTTAATCATCCCCAGGTCTGCACCTTCACAGCAAGTTTCTCTAAATCCAACTCTTACACAGCCGGTCCAACCAGATGTTTCTAATCATACTCCTTCGAAGCTTGTCTCTTTACACTCTCTTAAATCTGTTGCTTCAAAGTCAGTCTCTCCACATTCCCCAAAGTCAACAATTTCACAATCAGTTTCTCCAAATTCAACCACTTCACAACCAGTCCTTCCAGACGTTTCTAATTCTATTCCTTCAAAAGTTGTTTCTTTACACTCCCCTAAGCCTGTTACTTCAAATTCAGTCTCTCCAAGTTCCTTAAGGTCAACAATTTCACAGCCACTTTCCATTCACTCTTTTAAGCTTACTTCTTCAAACATTGTATCTCTACAATCCCCCAAGCTTGTCGATTCACAACCAGTGTCGTCACTTTCCTCCAAGTCTATCCTTTCACATCAAACCTCTCCGAAATTCCCTGAATTTGCCCAGTCAAAGCAAATCTCCTTGGATGTTTTAAAGTCTGCTCAATCACAGGCAATTTCTCCAAACTTATCCCCCTCACAGCCTGTGTCTCCTCAGTTCTCCAAAACGTCTACAGTCGATCATCCACCACAAGAAGTTCCTTGTAGAAATTATGTTAGTACTTCTGAACCTACTCAATCTCTGTCTTCCAACTTCCGGAACCGAAGGAGGAGAAAGGCTATGAAACTAGAAAGTTGTCAATTGTCCACCGATCAAAGGTATTCTCCTGAAGATTTCGTAAAATTTCATAAAGAAATGAACAATACAATCCTTACCACAGAGGCGCCTAACGAACCACTTTCAAAGAAATCGCAACAGTGTATGAATTTCATATCGGTACCCACTTACTTATCTTCTGTTGTCATTGATTCCACTAACTCTGATGAAGCCCCAAGTACTATCAATGTGTCAGAGGGGAAATTCTCATCCCATGTAGAGACATTTACATCTACTTGTAACTTTGACGTCCCAGAAAAAGCTCCTAGGATGACTAGACCTGTTTCTGAACCCGTTCTAGCCAAATCTATAGGAATGCCAGAACAGCCCTTATCATTTCCCTACCGGGTATCGTCGCTCTTTTTTGGAAATAATGGGCTAAACAAAAAGCACAAAGAAAATGTGATGGCATCCAACGGGCATTACCCAAATTTTCCATATCATAATATGGGCATGCCTGATGCCTTAAAAGAGAGATTTATTTACCCGTCATCTCGTCATACCTTACCCGTTAAACAAAACGGGACAGAAATTAAGAAAACGCCCTCTTCAGGAAGCGAAGAGTATTCAAAATGGCAAGATTCCTACACGTGCAAATACTGTGATTTGGCTTTTAAAGACTGTGTTATGTACACCATGCACATGGGTTACCATGGTTACCAAGACCCATTCACGTGTAACATGTGCGGCCAGCAAAACAAAGATAAGGTTTCGTTTTTCTTACACATTGCACGAGCTGCTCACCAGTGATCTTCACAAGAATTATGTTTGTGTTGTGTTCAGATGTAACACGAAAACTTCATTTTCAAACTACCTCATATTTTTTATTGTGGAACAAAGCTTTACAATGCTGTTATTGTTAGATGAATATGAAAACATGGCGTGTTATAGTATTTTGTTTGACCTTGATTTGAAGCAGTTTGATTCGAGAACTTGGAACCTTCAATTGTTTTAAAGGTCATTGATTTGACATATATATCTAAATTTTAGTGTTCCTATGGTACAGTTAACGCACTCCTACTTTTATTTACGTTCCTCAGTTGTTTTTATATGGATTGTATTTTACAGGTCCGAATGTTTTTTGTTTTTTTCATAAGCATTTATTGAACTGTAATGGTCGTGTTCACTCGTTTAAAGCACAACAAACTTTGGTAACCTGCGTAACATCACCAAATTTTAAGTTCCATTTTTAGAGTTTTTATCTCAGCACTAATAGATATTTTGAGTACATTTGGCGTGATGTTTTATTTTTCTATAATCATTTTACAGAACAATGTAAAATTCTTGATCTTTAAGAATTGTTTTCGTGGTGTGTATGGATAATACTTTGGACTACGTAAATTACGAATATATATGTATTTTGTAACAACTACATTTAATTATACTTTTCACTATCAAAATGCCCCCCCAGTGGCACAGCGGCATGTCTGCGGACTTCCAACGCTAGAATCCGGGTTTCGATACCCGTGGTGGGCAGAGCACACATAGCTCATTGTGTAGCTTTGTGCTTAATTACAATTACAAACAAACACTATCAAACAAACCTAATTGCAATTTTCAAGCGAAATCCAGAGGAGTAGGCAAAAATTTATGAAGGAGAGAGAGTGGGTGTATGAAAAATCTATGAAGGAGAGAAGGTGGGTGTTGGTAAAAATTTATGAAGGACGGAGAATAGGTGTAGATAAAAAAATCTATGTAGAAGAGAGGGTGGATGCGAGCAAAAATCTATGAAAAATAGACGGAGGGTGTAGGCAAAAATTTATGAAGGATAGAGGGTGGGTGTAGGCAAAAATCTACGAAAGAGGTGGGAGGGTGCATGCAAAAAATCTATGAAGGAGAGAGAATAGGTGTAGACAAAAATCTATGAAGGAGAGAGGGTGGATGTAGGCAAAGATTTATGAAGGATAGACGGAGGGGTGTAGGAAAAAATTTATGAAGGAGAAAGGGTGGATGTAGGCAAAAAATCTATAAAGGAGAGAGATTGGGTGTAGGTAAAAATCTATGAAGGAGAGAGGGTGGGTGTAGGCAAAAAATTATGAAGAAGAGAGTGTGGGCGCAGGTAAAAATCTATGAAAGAGATGGGTGGGTGTAGGCAAAAAATCTATGAAGGAGAGAAGGTGAGTGTAGGTAAAATTTATGAAGGAGAGAGGGTGGGTGTAGGCAAAAATTTATGAAGAAGAGAGGGTGGGCGTAGACAAAAATCTATGAAAGAGGTGGGTGGGTGCATGCAAAAATCTATGCAGGAGAGAGAATAGATGTAAACAAAAATCTATGAAGGAGAGAGGGTGAGTCTATGCAAAAATCTATAAAGGTATGGCACTTTTGGAGAAAAACATTCCCCCTCGGAAATGTTTTTAAAATTTTCACTGAAAATGGTGCATTTTGATAGTGTTTGAGGCTGTTTTTGCACCTTTTAAATATGTTTTATACATATGTAGGTGCAATTTAGGGGTGCTGTCGCTAGTCACTTCCTGCCTTCCTAAACTAAAACGTTTTTGTAATGGCTACAGAAGCAAAGAACAAAATAAAAATAAAACATAGCTTTGAAAGTTTCATTGCAGTTTGATCAGATCGTAATCACCTGAATGAAACATTTTTAAAAAATTGTTTCGGTTTTATATATTTCATAATTATGTGTCTCCTGCTTGGTCAACAGTAAGTTTTCAGATTTACAATGCTAATATCCAAGGTTCGATTCCCCGCAGTGGGACATAGCTAGTTTTGCACTAAAAGCCACCAACAACATGAGAGCTGTTCTGGGCTAGGTGGTTGTTTGTGCTACCATCTTCTGGTAAATGTAGTTACTACAAATTCTTGCAAAATTGTTTCGAGGATGACAGGCTTATGTTTTATTTCCTTCTTGGTCTTTAAAATATATAAAGGTGCTAATGTTTAGTTAAAAGTGAATGGATGTTTTATTTCTCTTGCCTTAAGCATAGTTTCTGTTACTTACAATACAGTGACATTTATCAAATTCTAAAGAACAAACTAACTTTGATGTGTGAAATGGAAATGCCCAAAACATGCAATAATATTTTGTAAATAATGTTGTAACTATATTCAGTGTATTCAGTTGTTTATTTACTAAAAATTTGTTCCAATAATTAACTCAGGAAATTGCCACACAGTCGCTGTTTCATTCCAAATGAGTAGAATGATAAGCCGAGGGAATTATGTTGTACCTTAGAAGTTGTAATTGTTTTGATGATATATATGATCTGATTTCCGTCATACGAGTTTCATCTTAAGCAGAAACTCCACGTAACTGCATGGAATTCACACGAGAGTCAAGACTTGATATTAATAAAAAAACATATTATTATCTTTCCTACGTCAACTGGGATTACCGAAAACTGGAAATATAGACGTTACTTAATTATTTCTTACTATTAGTAGAATAATCTCTTAAAATTGTGCCTACTCGACAGATTAGATATCACACACGCATAGAAGTACGATTTATCTTTTAAGTAATATATAATTCGGATTTCTGTTAAAATAACTAAGATAAAAAGGTGAGTTCTCTCGAACTAGTTTTATGGTACATATTTCTGTAAAACTCTTTATTTTGTCTTTAATGATGTAACTTGGGTATCCATTTTAAATTTCAGATATCATTTTATCTCTTTACGGTTGTCTTTAACACATGATTTGTCGGGAAGTTGCTGTATGGCTAGAATTGTAATAGTGTTTTTTGTTGTTGTTTGTTTATTTCTGCCTTTTGGGTTTGTGGTATAATGATTTTAAGTCTGAGAAGCCCTGTTTGGCAATGAAGTTGGAATCCAACTAGCTGTTTACGTGTAAGAAATGACCTTTTTAAATCACGGATTTAAAGTGAATTGAAATAATTTATTCACTTAGATAGTTAGTATTTTACACTTTACAATATAAAAACTTTCTAAACTAGCTACCCGAGTTTCTAGTTTTGTGTCCCCCAGTGGCTTAACGACAAGTTTCTGGATTTAAGCCACTAAAGATCGGGTTTCGATTGCCGTGGTGGGCACACCACAAATGATCCATTGTGTAGCTTTGCGCTCAACAACCAACAAACAAACAATCCGCTTTCATATTTTTGTATATAAAGCCATGTTTCAAGGTAATATACTGTTCACACAGTTGGGGATGTAATTTTAAAATTTTTATCTCCGTTCCATCCATGATTTACTAAACGAACCAACAACGGGCGAAGCGAAGTCTCTATATTTTGTCGTTGTTTTTTAGAGGGGAGGGAGAGGGTGCATGACTGAATTTAGTCGATAAAATGAGCGTTGTGCACAGTGGTCCGAACGCGTTGTGTTTTTTATGTTTGCATTATTTACGTATTACATTCAAATAATAAAGGCTGAAATTTTATCACCTGTGCCGAATTATTTTTCGGCATTTTCGTTGTTGACCTAAAATTAATCTACAAGAAATTATTTATTTTTCTCCCGAGATTTCCCCCAAAAAAACATATAAAAATTTTCCCCACAGAGTTCACAGAAAATGGGATTTGTGTTCATAAATAGAATATTGGGGTGGATATGTACGCCTCCCCTTCACTACGTCCCTCGAACCAACTGCGCATAAAGTCAACTTTGGGAAGATTTAACTACTTTCATCTTTTTAGAAAACATTTGGCTGAAATATAAAATATTTATTTTAGGAATGACTGATTAGTAATTTAAATTCAAATATTGCAGAAATACTAAACAACTTGATCTCAACTATAATTTAAAATATATTTATGAACATTGACAAGATAAAAAAAAAATTAGTTTCATAACTATATAAATAGGTGTCGCGTTCGTTCAAGTAAACTAGTTCCAGATATAAACTATTTACTAATTATTTTATCCTGTTTTGTGATATTTAGAAAATTTGGGAGAGCAATTTGTATATGAAATCTTTGTAACAAAATTTGTTACCGTATTATTGATATAATAAAGTACTGATGGTATACATGCCGTATTTTTATCGGTATGAAGTGCCTTTCGAGCTCAAATAACAAAAAAATCTATTGGTATATCAATAGATTTCTTGTATTGTCACTTGTGAATAAACTGTAATCCCGCTGTAGTTTTTGTACTTTATTACAGCTGTAAAACTGATTTTGCAAACTCCCTATTAAAAAGTCACACCGAACAAGTCACGTTAAAGTCTAAGAATTTAGGATGTGAACTTATTGGCTGCTTAAAAACAAGGCTTCACGACTTTGCTTTTTACAGTGTTCGCTTTATAGATTTTAATACCGGAAAACTTCTTCAACGTAAAGAAAAAATGCAAAACACAGTTACTACAATTTTATTTCAGCCGACTTTTGTTTTTCGTAAGATCTTTGAATACAAAGGAAGTAAACAGGAGTTAAATTAGGGCATAACGATCTGGAACGATGTTCATCCTCTTGGAGATTTAAAGCATTATTGATTCTGGGCTTTTGATTGGATCACGCTGGATCAGAAAAGTAAAATATAAAGTAGGCACAAAACTGTCAAATGACACATAGTTTTGTTTTAATTATAGTTATTGTAAAATATTTGTTTTCTACTGTAACCTCCTAATACTCTGCATCATGCAGGCCAGGTGGTTAGGGCGCTCGACTCGCTATCAGAGAGTCGCGGGTTCGGATTCCCGTCACACCAAACATGCTCGCCCTTTCAGCCGTGGTGGCGTTATAATGTGACGGTCAATCCCACTATTCGTTGGTAAAAGAGTAGCCCAAGAGTTTGGCGGTGGGTGGTGATAACTAGCTGCCTTCCCTCTAGTCTTACACTGCTAAATTAGGGACGACTGGCGCAGATAGCCCTCGTGTAGCTTTGCGCGAAATTCAAAAACAAACAAAGCATCATGCAAATATATGTAAGAGAACAAGATTACGAGGGGTATTTTAAAACCTGATTAACGAATATTTTCGGCAGTGATAGTGTATTTAGCGTGTTAAATATTCCGTGTCGCTATATCGTTCACAATTAGGATAAAATATGAACTTTTATATGAAATATGTGTTAAATGCATATATTTACTGTGATTACATTTTCACCAAACGAGGGCGCGACCATCTGCGTGTAAGACTGCAAGGTATCTGCATGCATACTCCTGAAACAACAGTGTGAGTTTTAATGAGTATCCGAGTTACACAACTTTACGAGTAATGTGAAAGTAGAATTCGAAATATTGAAAATTATCTGTTACACCTAATTTAAGAAATTATCCCAGCAAAAACTGTCCTGTTGGACTAAACTGTTTAA